ACAGGTAGAGCAGAGCTGGGACAGTGGCTTGGCAGCAGAGCTCACAGGTTCTGATACACCCCCGCAACTCATTCATGCTTTTGATTATCCGATCTGCAGAGCTCTCCTGGAGCCCTGCTGGAATAGCTGCAGCGTTGGACCACTGGTTGTAACTCCTTAAGGATGTGCAGCAGACACAACAAATGCACATGCTCGTGCTGAGCAGACCCAGATTTGGCCTGGGCTCGGTGCTGGGAGCAGGGTGGGAATTTGGGGCCGCTGTTCCCGTTCCCAGGCTGTCCCCTGGGACTTGCTGTCTGACCTTGGACAAGGCCTTCTCCATCACCCTTCACACTGGCCATGAATCATGCTGGAGATTTATGGGTCGGCAGCGCGGTGCATTATTAATGCGCCTCCCCCTCACACGGGTGCTCACTCTGGGCCAGCGTGGAGGGGGAAGACACATCCCAGCCCAGAGTTGTGGGAATCCAGCCCCCAGCCTCTGCCTGACCTGCCCTGAAACAAAAAGCCACCAGGATGGACGGCAGCCCCAGACTTTTGGGGGTTGTAAATCAGTGTGTTCACCCCTGCAAGGACCACGTGCAACATCCTATCCACAGGGATGGGGACCAACTGCTGTCCCCTGTCCTGTCTAGTGCTTGTCCCTTGGTGGAAAACACCCCAGAAGTGCAGGGTTGTGAGTCAGTCTACCATGACTTGCTCCATGTGCTGAAATGGCGCTGGGAGAGGGATCATCATGTGTTGGAGCAGGGCTTGGCCATCCCCGGGATCGGGATTCCGTCACCCTCCGTCGGGGTGGGTCCCGACCAGAGTGTTTGATGCCTCTTCAGCAGGTTAATGAGTCAACGGAAACGGTTCTCAGCTGCGCTCGGGGGAGGGAGAGACACCGGTATTTTTAGCCATTCCTGCCTGGTTTGGGAACAGGGTGTACGTCACACGTGGAGCTGGGAGTGTGACCACACGGGCCTCTCTGGGGGTTTCTCAGAAGCTCCTCAGGACCCCGGGGGAGCTTGGCCACATTTCACCGCCTCAAAGCTACTTTCTAATGGCCCTTCTGAGCTGTTTTGATCCTGGAGCACCCGCCCTGTCCTCTGCCAACACATATATTTATAATTAAAGCATAGCTTTAATGTCTCGTATGCTAATCTCCATAAGCTGCTTGGGGTTTGGTTTGGGTAACCCTTGCTTGGGAAATGCCAAAGGAAAAACCACAGGGTGATGTTCACCTGGCTGAGCCCGCGGGGACCTCGCATCCTCCACGTCTGCTCAGCTGGAAGCCCTGACACCACCACCCCCTGGTGTGTTTTTTTTACAGAAAATAAAGCTAAACTCCCTGGGCTGAGCTTTAGGAGAGGTTTTTAGTCCCTGGAGAAGTAGGTGGACGCATGATGAGGTTGCAGCACAGCTGGGAGCTGAACCTGACTCTGCTGAATCCGGCCTTTCCAGACCTGGGAAAGTTGAAAAATAACTACGTCTTGGACTGTCCTGATTCTTCACCTGGTTTTTGATCTCTTGCTTTGCATGCGAGACTTGTCTCCAGGCTTCCCTCTGCAGCCAGGACTCTCTAAAGCCGCTGTGGTTGCTGGGCTTTGAAATGCAGCTCCAGAGCAGCTCCAGAGTCTCTGTCTGTGACTGAGCTCCGGGACTTGTGAGGGAAGGGAATGGTGCAATTCATCCTGTGGCTTTGCCACAGCCAGGAATGTGCTCTTCCCTGCCTCATCTCAGACTTGCTGTTGCAGGAATAGCATTGGTCTGTGCAGGAGCATCTACAGATGATGTGGCAGCAGTGTGGAACTGTGAGGGAGGAGGATGTCCTGGGCGCTGCCTTAGGAAAGAAACTGAGATGATTAAGAAATGTGGAAGGATTTGAGAGGGCTCCCTGAGCTGGGGGCTGGTGTGTGCAGTGGGTATGTGAGGCTGAAACTGTGATTCAGGAATCACCAGGCATCCCCAGAAGGTCTGTGTTACACAGCCCCACGCTGCACAACGCCAACTCCCCCGTGGGTTATAGCAGTGACTGCTGGATTTTAAGGGTGCCAGTGCTGTATTGCTTGTTTTCTGAAGAGATGCTGGAAATACCCCCTTTTCTGGGAGGAGAAATGTGGAGCATGAGCATGCCCTGGTCCTCCTTGGTCCACGTGTGCCCATCTCTCAGCTCAGCCCTTCCATGTCGAACCCTTCCCTGCCGTCTGCTGCACCCTCCTCACTTCTGGAGCTGATTGCAGCCATAAATCAGCTCTTAAGGCAAACAAATAGAAATTAATTTAAAAATAATCTACCAACTCCATGCATCTTGAGGGGTTTCCTGCACCGGGGAAAAGGTTTGCTTTCCGGCAAAAGCCTGGAAAGCACCTGGGCAGCCCAGCCAGGCGTGGGTTAGTCCCCAGCCCAGGCACTGCCAGTGACCCCAACCCCCCTGTGCCTT